CCTCGCAAGAGAATATTAATTACGTTCCGCAAGTCTTTTCTTCTTAGCGAGTTTTTCGTCTTGCGAACACGGGTATTCCCATAGGAATGCATTGAAAATCAATCAATTGTGTTCCTATGGAACCATCCGGGGACAAGAGGCAAGCGCCGCGCGCCTTCCCCTCTGTCCCGGACCTGTTCTTAAAGAAGGAAGGGCCAGCGGGAGAATCGCTTCTCTCCCTGTTGTCGCCCCTTCGGTTCAAAAGGGGCAGGGACAGAGGGGAAGGCACGCACGCCATTCCCCTCTAGTCCCTTCTTTTGAAGCAAGGGGCGGAGGGGAGAAAATCGCTTCTCCCCGTTGCCGCCCCTTGGTTCAAAGGGTCCGGGGAGAGAGGGGAAGGCGCGCACCCTTCCCCTCTGTCCCCGGAGATTGCGGGCTGGCAACGGCGAGAGCGATCTTCTCCCCGCTGCCCCTTGCTTAAAGAGGTCCGGGACAGCGGGGAAGACCACTGCGCTTCCCTGCTATCCCCGGAGCTTGTGGGCAGCTTCGTTTTGCGAAGCAAGGCCCATAGGGAAATGCGTCTTGCAAGCGCTAAGAAAACGAAAACTCCTTTGTCTAGCAGTTTTTCATCTTCCGGGCGTTCGTCTTGCGGTACCACTGTAGATCAAACCAGTCCCCCTGTGGTTCGAAAGCAGTTGGGAATGACCAATGTTAGGTTCACCTATGGCCGAAAAACATCTAGCAAACCCCAAGAAGCTACTGCTAAGCTGATCTTTCCCCTAACCCCTGAGGTGGGTTTAGGACAAAGACTGCCACTCTTTCCAGATGCCATGAGATTTGGGAAAAGTGGGCTTCCCATCCCATTGTTGGGTAAATGTAAAAGGTCATAGACTGGAGCTATGTCTCTCAGAAAACCATAGGCCCTAGCTCAAAAGAATGGAGTAACCCAATGATACAGTTCCCATGAAATTAAATATTTCTCTATCGTTCCCCATTTTCTTTGGAAGGAAGATCCATATTAATTTTTAGGCAGAATATTATACTCACACAGGTGAAGTACCTAGTTACATAACAAATGCCAACCAATATGGGGAAATACTCAGACTCACTTCCCACATATCTAGTAGTGACATCTCAATATTTCCAGCTTGCAGCAACCATATGATGTTGGACAACATGGAAGACTATGCTGCTTAATGCCACCCTGAAAAGTTTATGTGGACCTATGTTGATTCATGGTGGTGTTGCAGTGATTTTATTAAACTCACAATTTAAGATTTATTTGGGATAAACCCAGGGCATAACTTGCACACTGCACAATAACCCTCCTTGACTAATGGAATTCAGCAAAACCAAGAAATTACTTTGTGTTATGGTATCCTATTGACAAAACCAGCATAAGCATAGTATATCAATATTAACATTTCTCCCCTTTTCACACTCTCTGCTGCCTATGAGACACAATGAGCATCTTAAACCAAGAGCAGGAATAACATTTAGGTTGACATAAACTTCACTAGAAAATAACAACAGCTTTTCTTTATTTTTCCCTTTATGGATAGATTATAAATGTTTTAGTTTATAACATAACACTTTGAATTGTGCTTGGAAATGTAATGGGAGCCAGTGTAGGTCTTTCAAGACCAGTGTTATGTGGTCTCGGAGGCCACTCTCAGTAAGCAATCTAGCTGCCGCATTCTGGATTAGTTGTAGTTTCCAGGTCACCTTCAAAGGTAGCCCCACGTAGAGAGCGTTGCAGTAGTCCAAGCGGGAGATGCACCACTCTGGCGAAACAGTCCACGGGCAGGTAGCGTCTTAGCCTGCGTACCAGGGAGCTGATAGACAGCTGCCCTGGACACAGAGTTAACTTGCACCTCCATGGACAGCTGTGAGTCCAAAATGACTCCCAGGCTGCGCACCTGGTCCTTCAGGGGCACTGTAACCCCATTCAGGACTAGAGAGTCCTCCACACCTGCCCGCCTCCTATCCCCCAAAACAGTATTTCTGTCTTGTCAGGATTCAACCTCAATCTGTTAGCTGCCATCCATTCTCCAACCACCTCCAGATACACACAGGACCTTCACCGCCTTCACTGGT